GAAGGTATTCAAGAAATTTGACACAAAAAAATTGGGCCACGCAGATTAGATGTAGCAAACAGCAGATCTTCTTGATTGCAATTGCAAGCCTATTCTTTAGGTCGAACGATGAATATTTTCTGAAAGAAAAAACATTATTCTCACTACAAGGCATACACTTTTATATTAATTTACTTTAAGTGCCTTAAAAAAAGGGAGACGACACAAGATTATCAATTAGGCAGCCACAAATTAATTAGGGAAAATCAAACAGTAGTACAATGAGGAATCCTTAAAAATAAAAATTAAAAATAAGAATATGATGAGAAAAAAAAAATTAAACGAAAGACTATCTTAAAACTATATATGCCGTTTAAATGAAATTTCTATTAAAAAAATGTTTTAGTTAATTCAATTCAGGTAGAACAAAGTTTTCAAAGTAATAATTCCAAAAAAAAGGAGTAAAAAGCTCGGGCATGAGACTATTAGATCTAAGAAAATTATTTAATTTTTTGGATATAAAAAGTTACATGCTTTTTTATGATGCACTTCAAAGCGAACATAATTGACGGAATTGCGTACCTGTAGGTCTAGAAGAGGGTTTTGAAGAAATTAGACATTAAGAAACAAATTAAGCCCAGGAAATTAGAAAGGAGCATACATCAGATCTGCTTGATCGCAATTGCAAGCCTACTCTTTCTTATAAAAGAGGTTCAAGAATACTTCCTGAAAGGAAAACGTAATTCAAATATGATCATTAAATAGGAGACAAATACTTCTATATTAATTTACTTGAAGTGATTAGTGACTATAAAAAAATAAAAAATTAAAAAGAAGACAAAGACGTCAAATAGAGGAGCAATTAAAATGAGAATCTGAAAAGAAACGAAGAAAACATAAACTAAATCGAACAATATGGTCATGAATTACTCCATAAGAAACACTGAGATATATATTAAGAAAAAATAAACAGAATCTTGAAGATATGGATAAATAGTATACTTACATGCAGGATTAGCAGAAGAAATAGGTAAAGTTGAACACTGATAACCAACTTGGGCCAAGCAAAGCAAATTATTTGAAGTAGGAGCAGGTTTAATTTCTGATGCGAGGAGTTGATGAGCCAACTAAGGGGAGGAAACAACTTAAATAGGCACGAGCTAGGCAATTGCTGGGTGTATTTTCTGGAAGATGCTCAGCAATTACAAGCAAAATCAACAATAGAAGCTTATTGTATCAAAAAGAAAAGGTTAAATTCAATAAATAATCTATTAACTATGTGATTTATTTTAGTTTAATCTAAAAATAATTTTTTCTTTCAAAATGATTTATAAACTATTAATTTTGTTTCAAAATGCTCTACTTGATAAACATTCAGTTAACTAACTAACGGAATTCTTTGTAATTGTTGACAAGCTGCCCCTTAAACTTTTAAAAAATTATTAAATATAGTAAATATATTTTTATTTTTTACAATATTTTGTTTTTGAAATTCAAATTTTTTTTGTCAAATATAATAA